CACTGCAAATTTTTTTCTAAGCTCTATACTAAACATTAAATCTGTTACGAAAAAAGAACTAAACAAAATGAACACAAAACGATCAGCTTTAAAAAGGACTCGTAACTGGTAAAAAAAACCGAATGAAAAAAGAATGTTAACAACAAATACTTTTTCACGCCCAACCCAGTTCTACTCAATCAGAATCAACGTTGAGTTTAAGCAAGCGAATGAGCCAATTGGAGTAAAGTGCCATGCAGATTAAAATTTTTCCCACTTGTGACAAATGCAGCTATCGATTTTTTTTGCATGCTAGCATGCTATTTAACATTCGTGTCAGTCAGCTGTTGGCTCTCACACTGACCAATAGAATCTTCCTGCCTATTCGTGACAGCCAGCTATAGGCTCTTACTCTGGCCAGTAGAAAATGGCCGCAAACTATATGAAAACTACCGTAGAAGCATGAAAAAATCGATTATTTCCACTATCGATGGTAGTTGGGAAATGCAAAGTCGGTCTTGGCCTTCCCGCTAACTTGGAGCATGTGCATGTAAATTTTAAAAATTGCGGCTGTTCATTCGTTACACACACACACACACACACACACACACACACACACACACACACACATATCCTGCCTTATATATATATATATATATATATATATATATATATATATATATATATAAAATATATATATATATAAATATATATATATATATATATATATATATATATATATATATAATTATTATTATATATATAATTATAATTATTATTATTATTATTATTAAAAATAACAGACAATGAATGTCTATTATGTCTGATTATGAGACGTTCTAATATTTGAATGTTTTCTTTAATTTCTGGTGAAAATAATAACAAAAGTTGTCCAACATTTGGATATTTTTTATTAAGTTGGTTCTAAGCTTTCGTACAGACCACTTTAATGTTCCATGTAATAAATTATTTCACCACAGCCCTTTTAAAGGACTGCGGATCATCAGACTTTACTTCCAAACAAAAAATGAAAAGAAAATTTACAAAATTTTGACGGGCCATATTAAACATATGTAAATTAACGAAGTGAGGAAGTGAGAGAGAAGACATGAGTGAGTTAGCAGATACTGACGCATTTAAACGGTTAACTTAACGGAAGTTATATATTGATATCGAAGGGATGGAGAAGAAAAACATAGAGAGAAAAAGAGATAAGGAAGTTATGAGAGAAAGTATCACTAATTTTCTTTGTAAAAAAAGGCTAGAAACAGACGCTGTTATTTTGTTTTACTTTGAAAGTTTTATTTTGGGGGGTTCAGCTCTCTGGATTTTATCCTCCTTAGGTTTACCCATACGGATTACCAGTTTTTTTATAAACTATATATATATAGCACGATGGAGTAATGGATAGCGGCTTGGATTGAGGAATCACAGAGCCGAGTTCGAATTCCAGTCGAATCCATTACATTCACTTACGTGCTAATACCCTTGGGGAAGGTATGAATCTTCTTCCTCTCCCTCCAGCTATGGGTAAAATAGCAGGTAAGACTGGGTTCTATACCCTTGGATGGCAACTGGTCTAGGAGAAGGACAACTCTGAATTCAAAACCTACGGAGGGTCGTTTGGGAACCTTGTGGCATTCGGTGCACCAGGTCTCTGTATTCGTCCCTTCAAAAGTGTCAAATCTCATGTGCCGGTGTCGGGCTGTCGGTTCCCTGGAAACTGATCTGCTTGACCCTCATATGTCGAGTCTCGACGGAAGAGTCGATTATTATATATATATATATATACACACACACACACATATATGATGTAATAAATTTGTTTATGTAATCCCGACAGTGTTTGACATTTATGAAAACGTTCATACTCTGATGAAGCCATTAAAGGCGAAATGCATTATCGGATATTATTTTCGAAACATTTTTATGTACGTTTTTCCAAATGTCAATGACATACATGATAAAATATAGTTTTAACGTATGTTATATTTATGGGTAAATTTGCTCAATGTCAGAGAGTGTATGCAAATATAAAAGTGGACATTAAGGCCAACACCTAGAGATTGACCTCAGTGTTTATATATATATATATATACATGTAAGCAAATATATGGATATAGTCGGACGTTTCGGTCTATTTAAGACCATCTTCATGGACATTTTCATTTAAACATAAACATAAATATATATTTTATATGTTCTAATGTTAATTATGTTTAAATGAAAATGTCCATGAAGATGGTCTTAAATAGACCGAAACGTCCGACGTCGACTTTATGTTAACATTAATACAGCATAATTGCATATTAAGATTTTTTTTGTTTTTTTGTATTTTTTTTCATATATATATATCTATATATATATATATATATATATATATATATATATATATATATATATATATATATATATATATATATATATATAATTATGTATATATTATATGCATGGTACTTATTACAAGCGCTCAATGTCAGAGATAGAGCTAACATATTTGGTTGGATTGATGTGAGTTTGTAACCCTGGGTTTCACGCTTTTATGATCGTCAGACAAACTGATTAATTTTTTTTTAAAATACGGGTTTATGTAGATTGCGTGTATTGGTGTTATTATGGAGTGGGGGAATCGTCGTCGTGATGTCATCGTGCTAACGCAAACATAGATGCATGTCCGTACATCAGATGAGGTACGCAGACACCCATACACACTTGCTTGTTCGTCGGGACTCATACATATATAAACATATGTGGACAGTATATATATATATATATATATATATATATATATATATATATATATATATATATATATATATATATTCACGAGTGTATGATCACATAATTTTGGTTCGACCAAGTAAAACCTTTCGAAAACGTCATTTGGTCAGATATTTGGAAGTCGGTTAGACATAAGAATTTTCAATTACTCATCATGTATATCTACCTATCCACAGTAATATTTACTAAGTTATAGTTTTATATGTTAAGTGAACTTGATCCTGTATTTTATTCATTGATTTTTTTTTTAGTTTTCACAGTTATATTCTTTATTTTGAATTGCTTTATTTAGCTTTTAATCTTCAGATCATCACTCTATCTATCCTTTCCTGTAAATGCTTTCAGCCAACTTATTATAAAACCATGCCATCGAAACTCTCAGTGTCATTGTTAATATATATATATATATATATATATATATATATATATATACACAAAGATTGTAGATGTCAATAATTCGTTTCCTCCTTTTTGGAAGTCATCGGCAGTACGTATCCATCGAGAATCGAACCGTTACAATTAAATTCATGCGTCATACCACTGCGTCAGCAGGTCTCGGTAACGAACAGGAATCTATCTAGACTCAATATAGCGCAGCTACTCATAATTATGGTGGTGATACTCATCCAAGTATACATAACCCACTGGAATTGGCCCCAAGAGCAACGTCATTACTCTTCTTTACCGCGTCCTGCTGGTCCAGTATTATGACGCTTGAGTTCTATCGTAAAGGTCCGGGTTCGATTCTCGGTAGTGGATGCGCACGAATGAAACAGCTGTCCAGTGCTTTCTGCATTCTGTTGAGGATTTTTTTTTATTCTAGACTTGATGTATTATCATCTGAATCTCTCTCTCTCTCTCTCTCTCTCTCTCTCTATATATATATATATATATATATATATATATATATATATATATATATATATATATATATATTAATGGTTAATATACACATACATATGCAATCATATATCTAAAATATATAAATATATATACGTACATACATACACATACATATATATATCTATATATATGTATAAAAAATAATTCCAAGAGGATAGAATCCAGGCAGAACGCAATGTCCAGGACAGAGTAAGAATATAATAAAAAGGCTTAAACACTAATTAATATTCCATAGTCAAAATTCATTCCATTGGAATCGTAAATACGATCAAATTCATCAGACCTACAAATTCAAAAAGAAAACAGAAATGTATGTGTGTGTGTAGAAATATGACTGTATATTATTTGTACAAGTTCGTAAATGTTAACCATATTCTTATTTTTCTATATTTAATTATCTCAGAAAAAGTTTCTAAAAATTCTCTCACTCAACCAAGAAGCCGTTTGCCTAGAAAGGTCAATTGATTAAATTTTAGAAAATCACTAAACCCGAGAACCTTTCAGTAAACCCTCGCAGATTTCAAAATTCAAAATTCTTTCCTTTTTTGTTTTCGTCAATGCTCATGGCGTCATTTGTCTGCCACGTGCCAAAAGACGTAAACGGCTTTTTAAGCATAATCTGCAAACACATAGAAAGAAAAATCTGATTATATCGAAAGAAAAAGATAGTTTTAATGCAGCTTATAGATAGTAGATAATGGAAATATCTTTTATTTTGTGGGTTGGCGGGAGTCTCACAAGAAGAGTCAAGTTAGCAACTGCAACTCTTTCAAAGCAATGTAAATAAAAACAGCGAGAAAAAAAAAAAAAAATGTTTCGGCAGCAAGAGTGGAAGCCAAGATACAAAGTTCATTTTCATTTCAACACCTTCTCATCTGTTGTGTTTGGTTTTTATATCTCGTCTTTCTTTTTTTGACATGTGCGCTTAGATATATATTTTTTAAGTACAATAAATTCTCTCAGCGGCAACATCGCCATAACAGAAATCTTCATGAGTCATACCCTTCTCAGTTCATTTTCATTCATGCTGTTTTGTCTTTTTTTAGTTTTCTTGGCTTATTTTCACTGATTTCTGTTTTATATTGATTGATTCGGTTTCAACAGCTCATCAAATCTTTGAGGCTTATTTAAAGCCAGAAAATATTTTAAGAGTGAAAGAATTCTTTTTGAGATAATAATGATTTAGTGATGCAACTCTTACTAATTAACCCTAAGCTGGGAGAGAACAGGTAGATTCATACTATTTGCGCCTAAGTGAATATAACCAACCCAACGGGAATTGGAACACCGATTTACAATTCTGAACTATTATCTATTACATTATATGCACATCCATGCTTACAGCACATGGTATCCGCAAGTGGTCACTCATTTAGGTACTGACCATATTCGACGTTGCTTAACTTTGGTGATCGTACGGGAACTGGTGTTTCAAAGTGATGTAGCCATAAGCCTTATTTCTTTTTTAATAGACGCAGAGTGCCCGAACTAGTTATACGTAAATAGCTCACTAAAATTGTGGTCACATTAAACACAAATTCCATTTCACTGAAATAGTAAAATCAAGACATTTCCTGATGTCTACAGTTAATAAAAACAATCGTTATTTTTTTATTTTTATTTTTTGGAAGCACATGTGATTAAAATATTTCTCCACAAGGCTTGTTGATCCTTTAGAACATTTCTTTTGATTTTTGTCCTCATTCTGTGTCCACCGGTTAAGTCAGCCATATTAAATTTGTAACCGGAAATAGTCATCGTTGACTATGATGTTAACTGTTTTGTGCTTCTAAGCTGGTAAGGTAGCTATGGAAGAGAGAGTTTCCCACGTGTTGGCACAAGCGCTTTCTTAGTCGTCCATCTAACTATATCAATAATGATAGATTTTAGTCTGATGTATGCATAAGCAGTGAATGCCTTGAAAAAAATTTAGTACACATAAGTAAATATAAGAATCATTAGCAAAGGTCTGAATGCGGTTTGCCGATTTTGTTCTTCTTGCACCTATCCCATATAAATAGAGTGTTGCACTACGATTGGAACACTTTACTAGAATAAGAAAGAGTGATAGTCTTTCAATAAAGTCTTCTAATTTGTCTGGAAGGGAACAGAAGAGGAAATGAGTTGATAAGAGCTTTTGAGGTCGAGCAGTAACAAGATGGACATAGATGATTTCGGGTTACTGGTTTATATTAGTACTCACAGTTAATATCGAAAAAGTCAGTTCTGCTTTGCCCTTAACAGGGGACATTAGTGCTCCTCAGGTAGTTTCAATACCGCATGTTTGTATTGTCAGTCTCCCGTTGGGATGTGTTGATAGAGTGAGAGTTGTTAGGATGGAAGAGCTGTATTGTTAGACATGTGTCATCTACTTACCCACCAGAGCGAACAAACGAAGCTCTTAAAACATATAAAAAATTTGAAACAGGAATCGTGTTCTCATTTCTCGACGTGGCTTTTGTAGTCGTTTTTCATTACTTTGTAAACGTGCAGCGGTGATATGTGAAGTGAAGCCCACGATTTTTGTGCTAACATGAAGTCATATGTCTTCGTGACTGAAAGTTTGAGCAACTGGCCATGTTGACCACATTATATTATATACTATCTACCAGACACTGTTACTAAGGTTTGGTGAACATTGTTGTATCAATCAGAGGTTGGATCTGTGAGTTTTGAAGGAAAGGTAAATGTGCCTGATAAGGCTGTCTGTAACAGTGATTTGGTAGTAACCATAACATGCAGATGTATTGGGAAAAGAACAGCCAGTCATTATCATATATATATATATAGAGAGAGAGAGAGTCTATCATTTTGTTGTGATACATGAGCTTATCAAGCACATTGTCTGCAAATTGCAAATGTAATGCGTTTGTTTCTCACTGGGTGCTCTTTTATTGCAGAATAGATAAGTAGGGTAACACATAAATTGGTGGAATGTCATCGAAATCAGTGATAATGTATATAAAGTGAAATCCGAACTGAGTGCTTCACTATTGTGGTTCTTAGTAAATATCCGCTATGGGTGCCTACTGTAGAGAAGAGAATCAATTGTATTAAGTCATTATCAACAGTTGGTTCCAGCGAAAATCTAAATTAGTTTATACCAAATAATTCTTAAAGTTGTATCCTTAATGTAGTAAATGTGGCGGCCCAAATTTTACGAATTTAAAATTGGAACAGAAGCAGTAGAAGCGAACAAGGCATTTCGTTCTGTCGTTTCAAGGATTTTTCTCCTTTTTACCTGCTTATGACCATGCTCTGTGATAGATACTGCACTTCGAAAAGCGAAAAGTGCAGATTTACGACGAACATTATTAACCGCTGTGCAGTTTAATAATTGTAACAGTTAAAAGTGCTGACTTTTTTATCTTCCCATTCTCACTCTATCTCTCCTGTTAATTTTCCTTTCTCGCTTACTCTTGCTTATTTCCTGTTTCTTTTTTCCTGTATATTTTCTTCTTTCTCCTGTTTATTCATATTATTCTCCTCTGTCTCTCATTCTTGTCTTTATTTTCCTCTTCCTCACTCTTCTACTTATTCTTCAATCTTTTCCTTTCTCCTACTTATTCGTTTCTATTCTATCTTCATCCTCCCCAATCAGTATTTTCCTCTTATCTCTTTTTCTTTTTATTTCTGTGTCAATTTCCTTTTATTTTCTCCAAAGATCCACACCTTACAAAGATGACTATCACTTTAATTCCCCAAACGAAATGTCATTTGAGATTTTAAAATGTAAAATAAACTATAAATCTTCTATTGTCAAGGTTTCCACATAACATAAAACTAGTTTTCTTCTCACAACGAGAAGAACTAACTGATTCCATATTCAAAGAGATGCATTATTCAAAGGGAGATAACCTTCGAAGACCAGGACACATTTCCAGATTATATAAATATTAGAGGTTATGAATTTTTTCACGCTTGTATGAATTCATTCATTCTTATGTTTCTAACAAATAAAGCCTCGGCAAACAACTACAGAATTATTTGTCAAATATATACTGTATTCTTCAAAATAGTTAAAATTTAATTTCTTCAAAATAGTTAAAATTTAATTAGATAGTATCGTTATGTAATGCAATATTTTAAATGTTAATACAACAGTTCATTTGATACATCAATGCAAACTTCTCGAGCTGACCGTTGAGTTATTTCCATAATATCAGATATTTTTCATTTGATCTGATACGGGACTTGGGCATATATATATATATATATATATATATATATATATATATATATATATATATATAATTATTGATATTTAACATTTGTAATAAAATACGGTTAAATAAAAAATGGTTGCAATAAAATAAATCCGTTAATTCTTTAGAATTTGCTTTGTTTATGTTTCAGATATAAAATCCTGCAGATATGGGCTTTCTAGCAAATATGGACAAGGGGATATACATTCCTTAAGGGAGTAAATAGAACCTTGCTGGGCTGTCACGCCCTCAGAAGCTGGTTTCTCCTACAAAGAAGGACGAGGGTTCGAGTTTGTTGGAGAGAACATTTTCTTTATTAACTTTTCTCGAGAACGCAGACCGGAAGGCATTATACATATAATTTAAAAGAAAGACCCCTCCACCCCCACCAAAAAACAAGACGTCTATTTCAAACACGGATACTCACTAAAGTTATAAATTATAAGTTCCCAAAGGAATACTTATTGAAAGCAAAAAAGAATAGTAAGTAACCCTGATTTTTGTTGTATTAATAATTGTTTGTTTATCAAATTTATACTAAAATAAAGTTTACTTTTTTATAAGAATTTAGCAGGATTTCATATTACTGTCATTGTATTAGAAGGTTTGTAGATGCTAGGTTTGAGTCACGACAGATCCAGCTGTTTTTATGATCATTATCAAATATGTAAGATTATCATAAGACAATTATCACAGCATCTCATCGACGTGAATTTATCATCATGACATTGAGTATGACAATAAAAAAAAAAGAAATCATGAACTAAAGAAAGGGAAATATTAAGCCATAAATAATCTAATGAAAAGAGAAAGAACGAATGTCAGCGAGAAGGTAGAATAGAAGGAAAAAAAGGAAGATGCAGAAAAGAATCAGACAGAATTATAAAAGAAAATGATTCAAGAAAGAAGGCAAACTGCAAAATTGTTGGGGAATTTAATCCGAGAAAAATAAAGGAAAAATTAAAAAAAAAAAAAAAAAAATGCGTGAATTGAAAATATCAAAAGTATTAGAAAAGACAAAATGAAAGGAGAAAAATTTAAACGAGAAATCTGATTTGAAAATTCTTGCATCAAAATCATGACTGCATATTTGTCTGTAAAATTGTTTTGCTTCACATTTTCAGAGCTGCGGGCAGCAGACATGCTGGAAAAAATTGAAAATCAAAATTGATGATTTAAAATTATCAATAATCTGTTTTTAGGAACAATTAGTTGCATTACTTACACAATTGAAAAGATATTTTTAAAAAATCATGTTGAAATGCCGAAAGGTCTCAGAGAAGCCATGCGCTAAAGTCAGATAACTAGGTCAGGCAACGAAAAAGTTTAACATGGACAAATTCCTGTTGGTAAACAACTAGCAAAATCGGGGGGCCATTGCTCAGTTGGTTGCCAAGTGACAGTTTTTTTCATTCTTTCTATTACTTGGTCTAAATTACATTGTAATGACATTAAAGTTTCTTTTTATTTGTGAAAGACTTCAGATGTCATGATTCATTTTTCACTAGTTTATAATCAATCACAATTTTATTGCTTTTACCTCTTTCAACAACCATTCAGTAAACAGAATGAAGCCGAAATAAAAAAAAAAAGGCGACACCTATGAAGTTTTAATTTTAGCATATATACTTGGGATGTCATCTGAGCTGGAAGATGTCTAATTGATTTTGTCGGACGCGAGTTCAAATTTCATCAGGTGCAAATGGATTCATACTACATTTTATGGCCATAGAATATTTAACTCTTATTTATTGATAAAAACACAGCAAAAATAAAATGAAAGAGAAACTAGGTAAAAATCGAGCGATTCATCGAGCGATACTTAGACAGACTTTGTAGTTACCAGTGTTTCTGCATATAAAGTCAGTGATTAGCAGCATTTATATAGCATATGTTTGCCGAAACGTTCGGAATAATAATCTGATTGGTGTGATATTTATAAGTTCTATAAAATAGTTATAATCAAAATGGAATAATAAAACATAAAAGTCATTTTAATGACTTACCCAGAATTTTTTATAATAGCAAATAAAAATATGCCAAAATAAATTTTTTATAATAGCAAATAAAAATATATATAAATATATTATATATATAATATATATATATATATATATATATATATATATATATATATATATATATATATATATACATCGAGTTTCAGGATTTTTCATTCTCATGGTTTGGCAAACTTGATTCTGTGGTCGGTTAGTTAACAAACTAGGAAAAGAAAACTCTAT